CTTTCCCTTCGTTTCTTATTTTTCGCCAGTCGCGAAAACGAAACGGAGACAGAACGAGAGAGGAGAAGAAGATTCGGAAAGGAGGAGTGAAAGATAGAGAGAAAGAGAGCGATGGAATCGACGAACGATGCCCTAATGCGAATAAAATTACGTCTGGCAGAGCTCGTCCGCCATTACCGACCGCTCCATTGGTCGGTGACCAAGGTGGCAAAGAGGATCTCGACTTAAGCGTCGGTATCCGACGACTCTTTGATCTCTCTGCGATAATGTACGCGCTGCCGGATGATTGCACACCACTTAATTAATTTTCCAGCATTCTTCTGACTTCCTTTCCATCCTTTCCATCCTTTCCATCCTTCCTATCCTTCCTATCCTTTCCGGAATGCGCCAGCTATCTTAATGCGCCATCTTCTGAATTTTCTGCCAGGATACCGCGCAGCCGTGACTTTCAACGCTCATTTTTCTCCACTTCCCACCTATCGCGTATCCCAACCCCCCTCGTCTGTCCCTTACCATCCCCGCGTCCCGATTACGGAATCCACGGTGTAATTAACATCCATAACCATCAAACTGGATTACAAACAATATCCGGCTCGTGGCTACCCCGTCCCGGGGACTAGGAAAGGACTGTTAACCGACCATTGCAACTGCTACTCGCTCGTTAGCGAACCGGCAATGAGCGTAAACGAACGGCTCAATGTACCGGCTCCATTTACCATTAAGCACGAGAGCACGTTGATTATCGACGACTATCTCCGCGTACGAGGATCGTTCGCCGAAACTCGATTCGTACGTCTACGCCATCTGATCGACGTTCATGGGCTATGGAATTAGCCGAGGAGTCGCGGGAACTCGGTCACGCAGCATCGGTACCGATCCCGGTCAACCTAAGCTAGTATCCTCGCTTTCACGGACTTCAGTCGAGATCGGAAACGTGGCACAGCTAGAAAGGACCCACAGACGTATTTCAAAAAATTATTTCAGAAAATTCAGCTGCCACTCCGTTACTACCATCGTTTCGAAAAGAAAGTCGAAATCAGAAGATGCTATACTTGCTAATCCGTCGATTTCCTACGCCTTCGCGATCTCGCGTTCTCGTGAAAGAAAGGAGAGAAAAGGAACCCCGAACCTAAGCTAGTATCGCTTTCACGGGCTTCAGCCGAGATTGGAAACGTGGCACAGCTAGATAGGACCGACAGACATATTTCAGAAAATTCAGCTGCCACTCCGTTACTACCATCGTTTCGAAAAGAAAGTCGAAATCAGAAGAAGCTATACTTGCGAATCCGACGATTTCCTACGCCTTCGCGATCTCGCGTTCTCATGGAAGAAAGGAGAGGAAAGGAACCCTGACCCACAGCCGTACGAATATTACCGCGACGAATACGGTCACGGATAACGTCGATCGTCGAGATATAGCCAAACACGAGCTCCGTCCGCCATTTATTACCGCGTCGTGCCGAGCGGATTTCTTCCCGTTGCACCTCTCGCGAGCACCGACTCGCCGAGTAAATCTCTACCCCGTGCTAGCCGTCCGATTCCTAATTACCGCGAATAATCGGCCGATCGTCGCGACCTCTTCCGTAAACACGAGGAGGAGCGCAGCAGCGAGGAGGAGAGCGAGGGTGCGCGTTGGCGCGAAGGTACCGAGGGTAAAAATGGGAAGGTAGGAGAGGGCGTTGGTCCGGTAAGCGCAGTTGTCGCATTCCCGCTGGCTCGGGGCAATGAGCGGCGCGCAGCGCAGGTGCACGTGCGCATCGCGATGCAGCTACTCTTCAGCCGCCGCCATGACCGCGGTTACCGTGGCGCGTTGCTCTCCCGCAAAAACGTAATTTACGGTCGTAGCGCGTAGAACGGAGGAGAAAGAGAGAGAGAGCGAGAGAGAGAGGAAGAGAGACAAAGGGAGAGATTGGACCAAAAAGACAGGACTGGGCCGCGCGCGGGAGACTTTACATCCGTCCTCCTTTTCTCGAAATTCTACGCTCGATCGCCGAAGGATGGTGACGATGAAACGATACAGAAGAGAGGAGAAACGAGGGTTCCATCGTTAGAGATACTTTTCGTGGAATCCACGGTGGTTTCTCGGGGAAGCAGAGATAGAGAGAGAGAAAGAGAGAGAGAGAAAGAGAGCAAGAGGGATAACGTCGTGGGCCACAAGAGGACGCCAGGACTGGAAGAATCCTTGGCTGACCGAGCGCAAATAAACGGTACGTCCCTCCTTGTTCGCCGAGTCGTTCGGCGTTCTCTGCGAAGAGAGAAAAACAGAGGAAGAAGAAGGGAGCGCCGGTGTGGAAGCGGGAGCAGGAGCGGACGAGTCTCCCTCGCCTTCCAGGTGCGCGATTGCTTCTAATTGCCCGCGCTCTGGCCCCGAGGTGCTTCCAAAGTGAAATTGCTCCGTGGCAGTGGAGATCGCGCGAACAACCGAGCGGCGACAACGAGTCGGAATAAAAAGGGTAGAGGGAAGAGAACACAGGCTCCCGGGTTCGTGCTCCGCTTCGGAAACTGCCTGCGATTCGAAGCGTTTTCGCTAATTAACCTTCGGTCCGCCGCGAGGTTTTGCGTCATCCGGACAATCTCGGATCGACCTCGACCACCTTCCTACCTACGTACGTGTACGAGTATGCTCGTACAGGTACGTGTACCTCGCGTTTGCAAAGTCCGCTTTTCCTTTCTCGCCGCGCGATGACGAAGAATCGAATTCCATCGATGGCTCCCAGACCGTACCGATCGATCGATCGGATCCTTCGAACGAAACGTGTGGCCAGCGCAAAAGGAAAAGTCCACGCGCGACCGCCTTCCTCTCGTAAATTTCATATCGAACGAAAATTATCTGCGGAGGGGAACGACGACGCAGAGGAAAGACGAAAAAAGGAGGATTCTCGCGAGCCGAAAGCAGATCGAGCGATATTCCATCACCGGGGGCGTTCTCGAAAATATCTTTCGCAACGAGCCTACGCGTTCCTCCACTATATATATCGTAATTAATACGCGTCGATCGTAATAATCGTACGGCGCGGGAGAGACGCGTGTCTCGGTACGCGGGCGAGGTAGATTCATCGGGAACGGAGCGTAGCCGCTACATTTGCATGCTTTTTGCGCGGTCACTTCGTTATCGATGACCATCGGCGTCTCGGTGCGCGGAATAAAGAAGGTAGGCGTTTCCTGCCAGTCGGTTTCGCTCGAATCCCGCGCAACGATCTTTCGCTGGCCGAGGAAGAGGCTTTTTCGCTTTACGAGGCTGTTGCATCCTCGCTCCGCGAGAGCCGGTCGCGCGCTCCTTCGGCCTGCTGGTCTTGTAAAAGTCGATATTTACGAGGATGCTAACCACCGTCATCGCTCATCCCGACTCGTTAACCAGCTCCGCCGGCGTGGCTTTGTGTTTACATCCGAAGGACAGCCATCCTCCTTATTGTCAGCCCTAAGAAAACACGTCCACCGTTGTTGCATCCAGAGTAGCCGAGGTGCATCAGGCCCCGGGCACGATCGCCTTATCGGTATCCGCGATGCTACCCGGCCAACCATATTTTCCACGCTGTTTTTAACCAAAACACCTCTCACGCCCGTCCACTAGCTATCGATCGTCTCTCTCCGCGCTTTCTTGCTCCTGGATCCCGAGCATCCACGATCCTTCCGGCTACTCGCGGTTCCACGTTTACGCGCCTTGTCGCGAGTAAGAAGCGGTGCTGAAATTTCACGATGACGTCGAAAATTCCTTCTTTCCTTCCCCTCCTTTCATTTCTACTGCTTTTCTTTTATATATATATATCTATTTGTTTTTTTTATTTTTTATTTTCTTTTTCCTTGGAGGAAGAAGGATTGTAAATGGAAGGCAACGCGAGTCGGATTTCAACCGGACGAATGGTCGAGGGGTCCGGGATGGTTCGGAATTCCCTTTGGCGAAAGGTTAGACGGGCCGAAGAGCGAAGCGCAATTGCGACAGGCTAGGAGAAAGGCAACGTGCTCGAAGCAGAAGTAACAGGTGCCGCGCGAACTTGAACGACGTGGCTCGATTCGAGTGCCGCCATCTCTCAACAGAGTCTCTCAGTCAGCCTTGCGATAGGTTAGCGGACAAATCGGTCGATAAGAAGAGCTCTACCGTGGCGCGTAGAGAATGAGCAGCGCGTCGGGACGCCGACTCGCGCCTGTAGCGGGATAACCATCGAGTCCACTCACCCTCTGGCAATGCTCGGCAGTGACCGCCGAGAGGTCCGCGAGCGGTTGGAAGATGACATCGTGAAATTCGGGGTAGTTTCGCGCCAACGGCCGTGCGTACAGTTCCTTCGCGCTGCACAGAGCCTCGTGGTACTCCTCCTCGGCTTGCAGCAGCTTCTCCGTCGCTCTGTATCTCCTGTCCGTATCTGCAACGGGAAGAAACGAACGCGTCGTTCCGTCACACGCGTTGCTCTTTCACCGCGCGCGGAAAAACCAGATCGAACCGGTGCACACTCACCTCCTATCGGATCGTACTGTCTCGCGGAGTCCTCGATCAGCAGAACTTCGCCGTGCAACAGTCCCACATCGGCGGCGGGGTCGACCTCGGCCCTGGACCCGGCGAGCAACAGCCTGGGCCTGCAGACCCGGTACTTCAACAGCACGGGAGCGACCACGGACGAGATGGCTCCGGGAGTCGCACCAGGTAGCTGCAATCGGACAAGAAAGATGGCGCATAAGAGCGAGGCCTATCGATTTCCAGCATTTTGGAAACATAGATATAGAAAAAGGTGTACAGATCGCGAAGAGAACCGGCAAATGGTAGCCTATTGATGAAATCGAGCGAGGACCGAGTGGAAGTCGAGGCTGCCGGAAGCTAAGGTGGTACCGAGTGGACCGACGAATTGGTGGCGGGTCGTTTGAAATTCCACGGATTAGAAACTCGACGATCTAGGAAATTATCGGATCGATTCTCGTATCTGATACGCGGCAAAAGATCGTCAACCACGCCTTCGACGAATTGCAGCAAAGCCAACGGGTTTAATCGAAGCTTAATCGAGCCCGATACCCGGACGCGGATAGTAACCCCCCGAGAGAGTATGGAATCGTCGAGTCCGGCAAACGAAAATTGTAACGTGTTGCACGAGTTCGTGGTTGCCCACTGTGCTTAACCCGCGACCTCGCCGGTAACCTTACGCCGCCGTGGCAATTATCGCTGGCACAGTAACGGGCCGGACAATGCAATTTAATCTCGCTTTACAGCGATACGCCGGCCAGCTTACACCCGACATCGGACGCCGATCTTTCTAATCGCCGTTCTCGGAACGGCTTCCACGCCGCAGCGGCGGAGCCACCGGCACGCTGCTGCTGGACGAGCCGGAGATTCTTTTCGACTAATCGACGGCTCTGGGGGGCGACTGGGAGGGGCCCGGTGATTCGGTACGATCGTACCATCAGCGTCGATCGTCGATACGATCGGTATGATTCGGAAGAATCCGGTAGTCGGACGGCTCTCCGTACCCACCCGGCTCTGTACCGTTAATCATATCGAAAATTCTTTCTTCAGCTCGCGGTACTCGCGTACGCCTCGTTCAGGAATTCGGTGCATTTGTTCCGACCCGGCCGCGCTCGTTCGCCGATCGTTCGCCGATCGTTCGCCGATCGCTCGACGCGAGTAAGAACCGCATTCTTGCCGATTATCGAACAGACCGTCGTCACGCGGCTCTCATTGCGTGAACCGTTTCGGGAAATTACGGAACGATTAATCGACGATAAACGATTCCTATGGGATAACGTTCGGATAACGATCGGATCGAGTGCCGGAAGGGGGTGACGGAGGACGTCGAAGACGCGGTGCAACCCTGGCCTTGCTTCCTCGGCTGATGGAGCAGCGGATGAAACCGCGATGAAAGAAAAGCAACGATCGGATACTGGTTCGGCCGGCGTTACGGGTCGCCTTTATATCCAGGACGATCCCCAAGAGTAATGCTTGTACGAGACGTACCGACGTTTCGTTTAAACAAGAAACGCATTATCCCTGTGGCCAAGTTTTTTCGCCGGCATCGTACGACGGATACCCTCGATCAGAGGAGGCGAGCTCGCGCGTACGCCCACTCTCGCTTTTAATAAAGCCAAACCGGAATCGTAAAGCTGAATCTAAATTGCATAATTATACCGGTCCGTCTCTCTCTTTTTCTCGCACCGCACCCCGCGCACCCCCGCATCCCTCGTCCCGTTCTCGATCGCGAACCACTCGCGAGAGTCCTTCCTTCCTTCCTTTCTTCCTTCCTTCCTTTCTTTCTTCCTTCCTTCTTTTTCCACCGTTTTCACCGCCCCCTTTCCACCACGCCTTTCCGCCTCTCTCGTAACCTTCGTGTTCCGCGGCCTTTCTCTCTTTTCGCATCGGCCAACGAAACACCGGCTCGCGAGCAAGATTATAAATTGGCGCGAAATACGAGTACACAGCCGCGCATCCTCCGTGAAACGGCTCTTAAACCGGCCTTATTCGGCCAAAAGTAAATGCTTTACAGCCAGCCAGCCAGCCACTCGTTCGCCGCTTTATATTGTAATTAAACATGTGATACGAACCAGACGTACGAGGGCTCGCGTCTCGCGCTACACGCGATTGCACTTTATGGATGTTAATATTAGGCTAACGATCGAGCCTGCTGCTTTTTTTAACGTATCACTCGCCGGCCGGACAGCAACAAAATTACAAGTCGCTCGAGCAAAGGGTTCAAACGGAGAGCATCCTGGTCCCCGTCGCTCCGCGTGTCCCTCTCGGTCCCAGCCGCGCCAACCACCCGAACAGAGAAAAACGACCGACGATCGCGAATCTTTCCACCGCGCGAATCACTCGGGCCCCTGCCGACCGGAAATTGCCTCTAATTGCCTCGCAAACTTTCATTCTTCGTGCTCAATATCCGCGAGGCCCCCTACTACAACCGCTGCTCTTCCTCTTCATCTTCGCCCACCCCGTTCGACTACTCTCTGTCTTTCGATTAAATCCCTCTCCGTTAAGCTTAATCGGATTCCGCTTTATCATCCGTCCTTCGCTCCAACCACGACCGCGTACAAAAGCAGACGCCTGCTCCACGCGCGGCAACCTGTTACCGAACGCGTTACCGATACCGACGAGCCATATTTCTGTCCCATAGAATTAGTAGCTATAGAATATTAACCGTTTGAGTGCCAAGCGGCGCGATCGCGCTTCTTCTATTTTGCGTCCAAAAGTGCCAGCGCTCTGGGCTGCGAAGCCGACAATCACGGCGAGCTCGGTTGGTGGACGCGGAATATGAGAAGCGCTATCGCGCCGCTTGGCAATCTTCGATTGGGAAACAATAATGACCCGTGACACTGAAACGGTTAAATTGTTCTACGAGATCGAAAACCATCGTCGCAATCATTGGTCGAGAATCGTCGTCTCCGTGCTCGAAAACCACGGCAGGCTTCGCTTGGACACGCTCGTTGCCGCGATTTCTCCAAACGCTCCGATTCCCTCGAATTCCAGCGTCGCGACGCGCGATAAATCGCGTACACGATCCAAGTTTCTGCGGTCCCAGCGACGACCCGTCCCTGTGTACCGATCGACACACGTCCGCGAGGGCATCCTGTCCCTCCCAGCCTCGTTACGGGACAATGAGCGTCGTTACATCGATCGCGAAGCCGAGCCATTCTGTCCAGGCGGAAGAGAGCGGACTATTTCGAGTGGCCACACGAACGGGAGGAGCCGGTCGATGCAACCCGCGCCGATTAATTTCTCCCTCTACACGACCCGCGATCGGCCACTGCGAGCCCGAGACCGTACACCGCGGGCTCGCGCACAGAAACCATGAATCACGTCGAGATTACCAGTTTAAGCCCGATTAGAATTTCCGCGCTACGGTTTCTGCTCGCGAGCGCAACGTGACGTAAGAGCGTTTCTTTCCCGACCGATCCCGCGCCGGTCACGCCGATCGGTTTTACGCGCGATAACCCCATCAGCGATCGGCCTGTGAAACGAGTCCGCGCGACGAGCCATAAACGGAGGCCGAGGAAGGAGGCCGTTTTTCGTACGCGGCACGCGGCAACCAGCCTAATTTTCTCCACTCGGAGAATTACATCATTGACCAATTACCGGTCAGGGCTCCAGTTAGAAGAAAGCGACCACGTCGGATGATCGAGGACCACCGCGCGTGGCGAGAATCGGGTTTCGCAAGCGTCGCGTCGGGAGAATGCTGGGCTCGAATTGCTCGAAGAAGAGTACTCGTGGAAATCACCATCGTCGTTCGTTTTGTCGATTAGTAGAGGAAGAAGGAAAATATTCCACCGGCTTTGGAGAGAAATCCACGAGTTAATCCTTTGCGCTCGAGGATTTTTTGGCTAAAGAAGGGTACGAGTTGAAAAATATTCTGTTACAAAGCTGATGATATTTTTTGAGCAGTAAATAACAAATCGTGTAATAATTAACACGTAGAATTATTTAATTTCGATACCTCGCACACTGTTACATTATTTTAAATTTGATATATTAATTAATATCGAGCCTCGAAATTTTATCAAATGACGACTGAGGGTCGCCCTTCGAGCGCAAGGGGTTAACACTTTGCACTCGAAAGGCGACCCCTAGTTAATCAGATTCTAAAGATGGATGAGGGTCGCCCCTCGAGTGCAAGGGGTTAACACTTTGCACTCGAAAGGCGACCCCTAGTTAATCAGATTCTAAAGATGGATGTTAATATACCAAATTCAAAATTACCCAACGATGCGTGGAATGTGGAAGTGAAATAATTCTACGTCTTCTTAATTTGTATACGATTTCTTATTTACCGTTTTAAAAATATCGTCGACTTTATGATAGAAAGTCTTCGAATTACTATTTTTAATTACCGAGTGCATAGGGCCTCGTGGCACACATTTTGAAGAAAATTATTGTGATTATGGAATTTTAATTGTAAAATAATTACGATATATACGACCGACTGACTCGCGAGAGTGTCAAGAGGGTACCGTGACGCGGCTCGCCTAAGCCCCCCATTTTTATCTAACGTCCTCGGAATTTAGGTCTTACTATCTATTCATACCTTATATCCTAGATTTATTTTTGTATATAATTAAACTCATCTTTTCAAGAAAAATAAGAATCCAAATTGCCCGGAATTCCAGAGTGGATCATACATAATCCCATCGCGCAACTAACGATTTAAACGAGAGTCATTAACCCCTTGGCTTACCATTTAACTTTCGATGGTGCGTGCCATAGTGAACAGCAAGGTCGGACACACGTCGAGCAATCTTGTCCGAACGCGTCGAAGAATAACACGTAACTGAGACAGAAAGACATCGACGAAAACTGACCACGAGCCTAACCCATGATGTTTATATACACTCGTATTCGACTCGATACTCTAGGCGAAGAGGCTAAAACGCATCTTTCTCTCAAAACAAAATAGCACTTTGTAGACAATACAGAATCAGAGGGTGCCAACTCTCGACTTTTCGAAATGGATTAAAATACATCCCACCATGCGTAGAAAGCTAGGCAAAAGATGCACACTTTTTAACCTACTTAACCTCAAGCCTAACCTAAAAGATTAAGACAAGGACGGAAAGATAAGCTTAACTATACTACAAAAATCAATCTAGGATATAAGATAAAAATAAATAGTTCATGAGATATAAATTCCTGGAAGGAATATTTTATGTAAACATTCAATGGGAATTGGGAGTT